CTGACGCTGGCGTACTCAGTTCCCTGGCTCCACTGAGATCCCTCGCTGGGATATTCTGCTTAAGTCGGGGGTTGCTATCTTTGATCTTGACTATGATGCTATCCTTGCTGCTATGTATGCTGTGTCTATTAGTGATGAGGGTGACTGTTACCTGTGTGTTCCGCCCGACCCGGGCATTGAGGCTGCTGCTCTAGGTGCTAGTGAGTCTGCTGCTCCAGGTACTGGTGAGGCTGCTGCTCTAGGTGCTAGTGAGTCTGCTGCTCCAGGTGCTGGTGAGGCTGCTCTCTCAGGTACCGCGTCGGCACAGGTCTTGCACACTTTCACCCTTGACTCGGGTGCCTCCCGCTCCTTCTTTCGCGACTGCACCACCCTCTCGCCGCTCAGTCGGCCGGTGGCAGTCTCTTTGGCTGACCCCTCTGGGGGACCAGTTGTGGCCAGTTCCTCCACTGTCATCCCGTGTCCTGCTGTTCCGTCCGGCTCGCTGTCTGTTCTGTACCTCCCCTCGTTCTCTACGAACTTGGTGGCGGGTGCTGATCTACAGGATGGGGGTGTTCACCAGTTCACCCCTGCCCACCAGCGTGTGACGCACTGCACGTGTGCTCGGACGGGTCGTCACCTGGCCACGTTCACCCGTAGGCCGGGGTCTAGCCTGTACACCCTTACCACTGAGTCTCCTCCTCGTCAGGTAGCCGCGTCGGGTCAGGTGTTTGCTGCAGCGTCCCGGTCTGGTCCTGAGTCTGCCCCCTGCTCGTGTCGCCTCCTGGCCCACGAGACTCTTCTCTGGCACCACCGCCTTGGTCACCCCTCCCTGCCTCGTCTTCGAGGCATGGCCTCCAGTGTCCTGGTCTCGGGTCTTCCTGAGTCCCTCCCTCCCCTTCCTCCGGGGCCTGCCCCTACCTGCGTTCCCTGCGTCGAGGGTCGGCAGCGCGCCGCTCCTCACTCCTCCGAGTTTCCCCCGACAGAGGCCCCACTACAGACTCTTCACCCAATCGTTCTTGCTTCACTCCAAAGCACTTACCAGCATAATCGCAGGCCCGTAAATTTATTAATGTAATCTACAAAGCAAAGAAAAAACGCACATTTCAAGCGTTAGTAACCCCGAAATGCAGAAAAAGCCGCAACTGCATGGAAAATGAAGCATACAATTTTTTCTCATGTGCACCCATGACCAATCGTTCTTGCTTCACTCCTAGGCACTTTCCGTGAACTCACAAATGTACTCTTCAAAGCAAAGAAAAACGCTCATTTCGGGCATTAGTTGTTTGAAATGTGGAAAAAAACGATTTTTTTTTTTTTTTTACCCATTACCAAACGTGTTTGCTTTACTCCCACGTACTTTCCGGCAGAATTTCAGGTCCGAGCACTCACAAACGTGCTCTTCAAAGCAAAGAGAAACACTCGTTCTATGCGTTTGTAGCTCCGAAACGTAGAAATGTCTGTACCGGTATCGAAAATGAAGCAGGCTGTTTTCTGCCGTGACTACCCATGACCAATCGTGCTTGCTTGACTCTGGTGCAATTTCGAGCATAGTTACAAGTCCGAGCACTCACAAACGTGCTCTTTAAAGCAAAGAAAAACGTTTGTTCTGTGCTTTTGTAGCCTCGAAAAAACACCCTAAACTTCAAATCATAAACCCTACCATAAATCTGGGTGGATATGATATCATCGTCTCACCAACACATAGTGAAGAAAACTTTATAGTTGTAACCACACTGAAATATATTTCCATATAGCCTATTTTTTCAAAATTAAAATTGCATAGCACAATGCAAGAACACCATCCATCGATCGTAACTCGTAACGGTAATAGAGGGCCTATGTATAGCATATCATACCCTCGCCATAGAACTTCATCCTGCCCATTTAAAATCATGTTTTTCTTGTTGACTTGCTTCTTGTGTGGTTTTGAAAGTTGGTTGGTGCAGTCGTGGCTTCTTTCTCTGAACGGTGGAGATGAGTTTTTGCCACAATTGTAGCTGGATGTACGCGAAATCGCTTGTGGATGGATGAAGCCGCCCTTCCGAACTTTCTGTGATGACGGCGATGGTTGAAATTTGCAGCACCTGTTCTGATCTTTCCTGTAATTCCTTCTGACTCGAGCGTGACCATAAAATGGCAATATGTACTTCCAACGTCGTCGCGTTGCGCAATAACTTTTTGAAAACCCTTCGACGCATGCTCCATAATCACTGTGCGTCCAGAATTATTAGTAGTAGAGCCATTAGTGTCAGGCTACTCTTCCTCCCAGCCATCCAGAAACGTGTTGGAAACTTTATTTCAAATAAAGCATGTGCCTGTGCAAATGGAAACTAAATTGAGAGTAAGATCCAGTCACTTCTGCTGAACACCTGGTCTGACTGTCACAAATATCAAGTGTACGCGCTGACTGCAGGGCAGATTCTGGATGCTGGAACGGACAAGGTGACGACGAACTGCTGACAGGTGAAGTGGTGGGTTAGATTTCGATTTTCGGGAAGCATCCCACGAAGTTCCGCTTGAGATCTTGTTTCCAGGAAATGTAAAGGTGTCGCTCCGCTGTGTCTAATTCCCTCCTTTTAATCTCCAAATGGGGTTAAAAGAGAAGATCATATATCAAAGAAACACTACTAGTATTAATGAGAAGGCATCTTTCACACCGTGCCCGTCACTTAAAGCTTTAGGTTGGGATCAGACTTCAATTCAGATTGTCTGATTTGCCCCCTTCCATACAACACTGAATTGTCCCTGAGCCTTATTTCGTAATGTTTGAGAGCGGAAATGTCTCGCTGTATTTTACCTATGGAATTCCCCACGTGCCGTTGACTCAGGCCTCTTGAACAAGTCTTCCGTTTCGTCGTCCTAGTCCATACAGTTCAGAGTGCACGACGAATATCAATATCTATGGTGACCAGTGGCCTGGTGGAGAGAGTGTGTACAGTAGAATTCTGTTCATCGTACAGTCGATGCTCAAAAGTTTCTCAAAACTATTGGTTATCTTGTTTAGAGAGTTTCTCCATCCCAAACAGTCTTACGGGCAATGTCCCAGCATGTAAGTCTCCAAGTTGCTGAAGACGACATCTACGACGCATAAACAACAAGGGTTGTCCGTCGCACACGTCATCAGGTATGTTCATCAGGTTACAAAACATTCCCACTTCCATTTTACAGTCCCATTTCTGCCCGTGCGACAAGGGCGAAAAGTAGGCGAAACGTCTAAATCTGTTTCGATCCGATGCCGACTGTACACCCTGTTCTCGATAATTTCACACCCCCTACCCTTTTTTTCGTAGGTACCCTTTACGTATTTCGGGTAGATGCGAAGGATACCCAGAGATTGAAGGACTATTGAAACCGGAAGGAACTCTAGATTCAAACTCGCACTTTGTGTTCCAAGTGAAGGGTTTTGTTGGGTTTGGGGTACCTTTGACATTCTGATTGCCCCGCAATTCGCGAGAGTGGGTGGGAAACTCGTCCAGACGTATGAAAACGTCGTCAACTACCCTCCGAAAACGAGTGACCGAGGGTATTTACCCCAGGGTGTGATATTATGTGGTGTGAAATTATCGAGTATAGGGTGTAATGAGCACCGATTGTACAAGACGCTTGTGCTGACTGGTGCCCATGAGTTGTTTGTGCACAGTGCGTTCAAAGCCGCCACAATCTGAAAGTGTCTGCACACATGCCCAGTGGAAGAATCGACCCAGCTGTACAAATTATTTTGGCAGGTTTCGCCCAGCTCCAGAGCAGACAGCTTTTCACACAAGTACACTTATCTCACATTGAATGCCAACCCAAGATGCGCTTGCCACAGGCGTTTCGAATGTAGTCGCCAAGCTCGGCGCGGACGAAATGTGCAGCAGCAAGTTCGAACCTCGCCACCCGAAAATTCTGGGCTAAAAATATGGTGGGCTGGCCGTGTTTAGTGGTGTATGGTCGCCGGGTTCACCACGGGTATAAAGTGTACCTGCAAGTTTCGAACCTTGTGTTGCTTTTCGCGATGCAAATGGGTGGACGGGGTTGGTTGAGGACGCGGTAAAGGTTTCTATTTCGAAGGATCCTTATTGTTAATCGAACATCACAATTGGAATAGGGAATCGATCGATGTAACGATGCACACCCCTCGCTGTAACGATCGGAGGAAAATGTCGAGCACAGCGTTCAATTCGCCAGGATCACTTTGGCGCGGAGGGGCCACCCGCTTTACACACTTTCGTTTCGTACAGACACAAGTACGACTTTCGCAACTCACAGGGCAACCTGGCTCGCGAATCGATGGCTCTGTGAAATGTGTAAGGTTGTGCGACTCCATTCACCCGCTTCGCGAAACCCTGTGACGTCGCAAGCTCGTGGATCATTCGTCACTGTTATTCTCGGTTCGTCGGCACTTGCGTCCCATCGATGCGGCGATGGATCTCCACAAATCGACGATCAGTCGTCCAGACTGAATGTATGTGTATTTTATCCAGAAATGTCTTTGTGTCTTGGTTACAGGGTGGTAAACAGAGTAAACAATCCGCACATTGATCGTGTCAGACTCTCGATCGTCTACTTTTACCACGTCCTGAGCATCATGTGTACAGGTTATAGGCGTAAACCCTGAATTCGCCGCTGAGACCTATCGTTCGCCGTTGGGGGCAACAAGAATGTTTCACCACGCACACGCAAGTGTTACCACGTTGATGGTCCTAAATTGCAACCCACACCTTCTACATGCCAGGCTGGCTTCTCCTAAATCACTGCGTAGTGTAGGCTTACTGTCCTGCAATAGAGCATGACGATGGGGCAAGCCATTTTCATTGCTGGCTCATTCGCCACTCGACGGAATACAATGACGACTCATCATTCCGAATCATGCTTTTCACAACCGCTTTGCTCGGGAGCAAGTTTCACTCTGGCAAGTGATCGAGGAGCGGGAATTAAGCGAAATGACACTTGGTATTCAGCACGAGCAGTAGCTCGTCCTGGGTCTGTAGTAAAATTCGCGCAGTGTAGCTACAAGTCGAGTGTCGCAGCGAGACCCTATGTGGGGTGGAGCGGAGGCGAGCAGCGCGGATGGCGCGTTTGGCGCGTGCACGCCGGTCCCAGTCGCCGCTTTAATGGAGACCGGCGTGACGAACGACCGCCATCACGTTACTGACTGCACGGAGCTGTCACATGGTGCGATCATGGGGTCGGACAATGATGGTGATCATCTGGCTGTGGTTCGTGGTAGTCCCGCCGTGTGGGCGCGGCAGAGAGAGTTAGACTGCATTGAGATGGTGATGCTCGGCAGTCAGTCAGCAGCTGCACGAATTCCAGCTGCGGTCACGGGTGCAGGAGCGCGGAGCACTGTTCTCGAGGCGCCATGGGTGCATGAGGCGGTGAGCAGAAGGTCGAGTGAAGTGATAGTGCAGAAAGAAAGAGACGATGATGAAGTATCGGCCGCACACTTCACCGTCGCCGACAAGGTGGCAGGCAGGGACGGGAACCGCTGGCCCACTCCACTTCCCGCCGACTCGGGGGACGCCGCAGCGACGGCAGAGCTGGAGGCTCTCGTTGAACGCTGCCAATGGCGCCCGCAGCAACCGTTGCTGGATCCGCCCTCCACCCGCGGGACGGGTGAGACAAGGGGGACCCGCAGCGAACCACGGCCGTATGATGCAGAGGCCGCAGGGCCTTATGCAGAAGTGGCTTGCGCAGCAACTGGAAAGCGCTGCGCTGCTGCGAGCAATGCTGGGGCGGCGGCGTTGGCCGAATACTCTGCCAATGCGGCTGCAGCCGGTACTACTACCGCCCCATCTCCAATGCGCGAGGCTTGCGCTGCGCCCCAGGCAGCTATCGATACGATATCAGCACACGGGCGGTTGCACCTTGACGCGCTGCAGTTGGAGGGAGAACACGATCTGATCGCCGGCCTGCCGCTTACTCCCTCGCAACAGCCAACCATCCATGCGCCCGTGGCAACAACGGCGGGTGGGAGAGACGCCACTTTAGACGCGAGTGGACGAGCTCCGCAAGTTATGGGCGAGGCCTTTTTGGCGCGGTGGTACGACAATCGTGGGCTGTGCACATCCATGGAGCAGTTGCCGGAGGACGGCGTGCTGATTCCGCGGGGCACACGGCATCTCAGGACTACCGCAACTAGTAAACCGCATCTCACTGATTCAGTAAGTCCGAGAAGCCTCCCCGCCATGTTACTGTCCACTCGTGCTGGTGCGGCACGCGGTGATTTCTCTGTCCCGAGGGGCGGCACGAAGAGCAACAGCAGCAGCAGCAGCAGCAGCAACAGCAGCTGCAGCAGCAACAGCACAAGCATGCAGGACGGGGGGCGGTTTGGCAGCCTAATTCGAGCCGCCCCTACAGCCGCCCCTACAGCCGCGCACGCTGCTCTTTCCAGTCTCAGCACGCACTTGAACTTTTCTCCTGGCCTGCATGATCCGAAGCACGTGAGTGCAAGGGTAGGGGCGGCTAGTTCAGTGAATGCAGATGATGGCGGCGGTGGAGCATGGGGTGACGGGCAGCCACACGCACTACACCAAGCACGCACACGTGTGGACGCCACGGCGGTTGCCATCGCCAGCGATCTCGCACATGATAGATTCGTCTTAGCTCGTCCGCCATCGCGTGCACAGATTCCTGTGCCGCCGTGTGATTTCCCAGTTCCCTACACCAGCTTCACCACAATGCCTCCTAAGGACATATCCCAGCCTCCTACTGCCGTACTCACAGCTGCTGCACATCCCACGACACCCGCCAACGCCCCTATCTTCATACCTCCTTCGCCCCGCTGTCCGCGCCCCTCCTCTGCTCCCCCCACTGCGTCCCTGGCTCACTGCCCGCCCTCTCCCTCAGGCACTGCAGGTGTGGGCAGTCCAACGGCCCGCTCCAGGCTGCGCTTCACTTCCCACTCCCTGCCACGCCCCAACTCCGGGGGAGGGGACTCGTCCCACGTGCACTCGCTCAGCTCCCCTCTGCATGCATCTGCACAGGCGTCTCTAATCTCTCTGCCGCGCCCGTCCCTTGACCACCACGCCGTCCCTGCCCTCTCACCGCGCCTCCATGCCCGCCCACACGCAACCCCACGCCACCTGCGCATGCCCCTGCTGTCGTCCTTGCCGCACAGATTGGCCGCGCCATGGCATCTTCCCGCCTCTGCTCCTGCTCCTCCGCCAGCTGCTGCTCCTCCTGCTGTTGCCGCTGATGCTGCTCCGGCAAAAGAAATTGAGGAGGAGTTGCAGGAGGCCACTGGACAGCAATCTCCTCCCATCAACCCTGCTCTTCCCCTCTCTCCCCTCTCATCCCTCCCTGCTCTCCCTTATGCCCACACATCCCCGCGCACTGCCTCGCACCAGCACCTGGATCGAGTGGGGTGGAGTCGCAGAGGGCGGCAGCAGCAGCAGCAGGCGTGGCGGCCTCTCCCCCCGGAGAACTTCATACCGTGGGAGACCATCTATGGGCCGTATACGCACACCTCCACGGGCCTGGCTGCTGCTGTTGCTGCCGCCATCACTGCCCCTTGCACAACTGCCACGACCTCCGCTGCTGCTGCTGCTCTCACCGGTGCTGCTGGTGCTGCTGTTGGTGGTGTAGCCGCAGTTGGATTTGCTGGTGGAGCAGCAGCATGGGTCAACACTAGTGGTGAAGGTCACGGTTTGGCAGGGACGGTCGCGGCAACGCCTGTTGCTGCTGCCTATCCATTCCGCTACCCATCATCTCCTCGTCCTGCACCACACATGCCTGAGCAGCTGCACTCCCTTGCTGGGCACATGGGCGCACAGTCGCAACTACTGAGAGCTAAGAGCGCAAGTGACTTCAGCAGCCCCTTGCTTGGGAGCGGCAGTCCTGAAGCTGTGGCAGCTGTGGGTGGCCTTCCAGTCACATGCTCGCCTGGGTCATGGGATGGTGCAGCTGGCCGTGTTGACAGCCACATTCACGCCACAACTGCACGCATGGGTGCCACGCTGCTCTCCACTGGCAATGCGTCCCTGCTTGCCAAGAGGCGCAGAACGTCCCCTCAGCAAGCTGCACCGGCACCACCTGCAACCTCTCCACGCATGTTTCCCCGCCCACAGGAGCAACTCAATGCGCTGCCACTACCACCTGCTATTGCTACAAATCGCCTTGTCGAATCACACCCCCGGCATCAGCAGCAGCAAAACTCTAGCGTGCTTCACTCGAGTATTCACACTGGTTCCCTGCCACGGCATTCACCTGCTCAGCTGACTCCCTACCCCACTGCATTCTCGGGAAGAGCATTTCATCGCTCCTGCAGTACACCTGTTTTCTCCACTGCCGGCTTTCCCTCTGCTGCACCACCATCCCCATCGCTTCATCCCTCGCCTCTCTGTGGCACCACTGCAACAGCAGCAAGCCTCAGTGGCAGTGCTTCTGGCTCCGACGAGAAATGTGCTGACCTCTGCGTGACTGCACCGCCCTTCCAGGGCTTGCTAGGTGCAGGATCAAGAAGGGAGGTGCAGCAGACGGGGGACGTGTTTGTGCGCTCTGTAGAGTCAAGGGGGGCGCCGGCACAGCACAGGGCGAGGGTCGCTGTGGGAGGGCTGAGCATGGAGATGCGCAGAGGCGGGAGGGGTGGAGGCGGAGCAGTGGAGGACATTGTGGCACAGCTGGAAGAGGATGACATGCGCACCCAGCTATCCATTGAAGTAAGCTGCAAGGAATGCACGGCCCTGCTTTGGGCCCGGCAATGCCATCCCTTTGCCTTGTGTCCTCACATAGTTACTCATTCTCAAAACATCCTCCCATCTATTCCCTTGTGCCGTGCTCACAACAGGAACAGCTGGTGCGGATCCAGAATGAGTCAAGCAACAACGAAGGATCTACCATGGTAGCTCTGGCCGTGCCTCATTTGCAGGCACCCATCTCCATGACCATAAACCCTGAAGCAGCAGGGGTGCGAACCTCAGCAGGCGCCCAAACAGAGAACACCTTTGGCATTTTTTACCCTACTGGCAACACGGCAAAGTAGCAGTGGTTCCGTGGACACAGCATGTGTGGGATGGGAGCGCTGCAGGATGGACAATTCATCGAGATGTGTTTCTCTGGTGCTCCCTCAACGCCCAACATTTGGCACTTCCCCATTTTTAGCGCAGGAGTCCAAGAGAAGAAGCATGCTCATCCGGCAAACTTATTTTTCCGAAGCCTCATCATTTTTGCTCCATAATGGTGCTTTTGTAGTTTTCATTCATTTATAGGAGATCCTCATATGGTAGTAATACATGTTATAGTCTGTGCTATTATAAATGAATACCTAGACCTACGAGTATCCGCCCTCCCCACGCAGCAGCTGGCGTCCTATACTGGATCAGAGACACAAACAGATTCGCATGAACACAACCTAGCCACAACCTTCGCCACCCTTGTTCCATGAATTTAATTCTCGCCACCCTTCGCAAACCTCCTTTCAACTTCAGTATTTTTGAAACTTTGCCATTCTAGACTCGGGCTTTAAAGCGCTATAGCTATCTAACTATTGAGCTGCAAAAACTTACGGTACCAGTACGGTATTATATTTCATCTCAACAGCAGCAAACAAACTTTGAAGACCCGCCCCCTAAGCCCTGCCCCCTCCCACCCCTCATGAACAACAATTTGATCCACAGTTTCGCATGCGACAACTCAAGTTGGAAAGCAGTTGCTTAGAAGGCAGCCTGCCCTCTCACCAATCTGTATTTCAGGACCCCAATACATAAGCAGGGTATCAAGTGAGAACGGCTTGAATGAAAAATAAGGTACCGTACCGTACTTCTGAATTTGACAGCAGCAGGCAAAATCCAAGGTCCATTGCTAGAGCAAGCACTGCATCTCAGGGCTGCAGCAAGCAAACAGGAGTGCTACAATAATCATAAGGGCCAAAATGGCCACCTGGCCAAGCTGGAAATGGCCATAGCAACACGTATCAAGATGAAACAAGGCACCCAAACACTCCATTGTGGGAGGCAGTCAGCCATAGGCCCATCACATTTGGTGCACCATACCAGACTGCCCATGCTGGGGCCCAGACCCCTGCATCACATGCTGCTGCACATGCCCTTGCACCACACTTCCATCACCATGCCCACCCACCATATGCTGCTCCCCCCCATGCTGCTGCATGCCATTTCCCCCCACATGCTGCTGCATGCCATTTCCCCCCACATGCTGCTGCATGCCGTTCCCTCCTCCATGCTGCTGCATGCTGTTCCCTCCCCCATGCTGCTGCATGCCGTTCCCCCCCACATGCTGCTGCATGCCATTTCCCCCCCCATGCTGCTGCATGCCATTTCCCCCCCCGTGCTGCTGCATACCATTCCCCCCCCCATGCTGCATCAACACACCCTGAACAACACCCACTTCATGCGCGCTCACCACGGGTGCACCCATCCCGCTTGCACCATTACCACCGTTCATCTGTGTCTGCTGCGCCATGCCTGCTGCCATGCCCATGGGAGTCCCCATGCCGTCTACCACCGCCCCTGTCATAGACCCTTGGGGCCCCCCCATACCGCCCACCATGCCTCCCTCGGCACACACACCACCCACGCCTGCAGGCGCTAGCGCTGCTGCCATCAGCGCACTGCCGCCCACAGCAGCACCGCTCGCGCCCCCCTGCGCCCACGCCTTCATTCTCTCCACGCCCCGCTGCAGCAGCTCCCTCCTCTGCCTCTTCCACTTGCTCCCCTCCCCTCCTCCCACCCCGCCCCCGTCATTTCCCTCTCCCGAACCCTCCCGCCCATCTTCCCCCCGCGCCTCCGCGCCGGGGGAGTCGTCCGCCCCGTTGACCCCGGCGCCACCACCTGTAGACTGCGCGGACGGCAGCGGGCGGTCGCCGCCGAGCGCCTCGCGGAGCTTGGAGATGGAGCCGGCGAACTCGACGCGCAGGATGTCGTCCCAGAAGCGGATCGCCGCCGCCACGTCGCCCGCGAACTCGCCCGCCTTGCTCTCCACCGCGTGCACTATGCGCATCTGCCCCGCGCGCCCCCCGCCACCAGCCGCGTGCGAGGAGAATCCCGGGCGGCGGAGGCGTGGAGAGGGAAGATGGTCGTGCGGGGAGAAAGGGAACGAGGGCGACAAAGGTAAGAGGCGGGATGGGAGAGGGAAGCAGAGGGCGGAGAACGGTATTGAGAGAATGGGAGCGTGTGGCAAGGGTACGGCAGTCAAGTAGCGAGTGACATTTAACCGTTCGCACGCGCCGCTCACATGGCCCCCAGTCGCGCAAGCAAGCCCGTTCCCCTCACCTGCTTGCGCCAGTACTTGTAGTCGTTCTTATGCCGCCACCACACGCACTTGCGGTCGCGCCGCCGCGCCTCTTCAAGCTTCTCAATGGACGGGCCGCCGTTGAGCCCCTCCTTCCACTCGCGCCACACGTCCTCCACGCGCGCGTCGAGGTTGCGACTCACTTCGTACCCCTCGGGGTTCGCCATCTCCCCCATGTCTCCGCCCATCAGCATTGCGCCGCTCTGCATCGGCCCAAGCCCGGGGGACATCGCGCTCCTCCGCCGGCCGATCCGCCCGCCGCTGCCAGATGCGGGTGTCCCAGAGGCGGGGCGCATGGCGGGCGAGGTGGGCAGCATCCCCAGAAGCGACTGCCCCGCCGACATCCCCGTGGATGTGTAATGCCCGCCCGTTCCTTGCGCGCCCATGCCCATTGCTCCGCCAGGACCAGACAGCGGGGTTTGGAGGGGAGACGGGGAAGGGCCGCCCAAGGAGAAGCAATCGGGGGGGCTGGCGCCGGGCATGAGCGTGGCGGTGTGCAGGGGGGTCAGGGCGGGGTCGCACGCGCCCATCAGCGACGGCGACCCCGACAGCGACGACCCGCCCAGGGGGTTGTTAAATGGAGGCGGGCCGAGCTGCGCGGTATGCGGCGCCATTTGCGCTTGATGTTGGAGGTGCAGGGGAGAGGGGAGCGCGGGCGAGGAGAAGGCGTGCGAACCTGAGAGACGAATGCGGGGAAAGGGGGATTCACAAGGGGGCGTAGAGGGGGCGGCAAGGTAGAGGAGAGAGTTTGCAGAGGGAACGTAGTGGGGGAGAGGAGGAAGAGTGCGGAAGTGATAGGGGTGTTTTGCATTCCCCGTCGATCCAAGAGCCACCTACCCTTCTGCGCCCTCCGAAACCTACCGTCGCCGGGCCGCACGCACTCCCTTCCGTCGAATCCTCACCACACGCCGCACCTGGGGATGCCATCATATTGGGCGCAGGGAAATCCGCGAAGGCGATTTTCAAGAAGATGGTTTCCTGAATGCGCAGCTGCTCCTTCTCCTTCCACAGGCAATTCCGCATCCGGCGGTGGTCGTCCACTCGCTCCCGATCGCCCGCCTTGGCTGCCTCGTCCAGCTCGTGCGTCGCTCGCGCCAGCTGCTCCTCCACCGTGTGGATGTCGCGCCGCACTCGCAGCAGCTCGCTACGCGCCTCGTCGGCTCGCGCGCCCATAGCTGCAGCGCCGGCACGGGCGGTACGTCAGCGATGCTGCAGACGCGGAGGAAGCGAAGGGCGCCAGTGGAAGCGAGGAAACAAATGCGCTGCGCGACCAGGAGAGACAGCCACGGCACGGGACGAAGCAGGCAGGAGTGGAAAATAGTAATGGAGCTAGATTTTACAGGATCGTATGGAGAAAAGACATTACTAGCTCTACGCAAGTCCAAATTGCAAAATGGTGGGGAAGCTCCAAGGGCACAATAAACTGGCGATTCCGCAGAGACTCTCAGCAAAGAGGAATTCGGGCAGGTGGCGGAAGCGGGAACTAGGAGATAGATCTGGGCGGCAGGGTCCATGGAGGGAGGGGAATGGGGGGGTGGGGCGTGGAGCGGAGTTCCGATAGATTGGGGCGGACTTCTGTCGCAAGCAGGGGGCAGATTGGGGGGCGAGCGGAGCTGCAAAGTGAATTCGCACGGTCGCACACACCGTAGGGTCTGCTGCGCTGAGCCTCCCGACTTCCCATTGGACGGCGGGGATGACTGGGAGGGAACAGTTCAGGATATCGTGCGACGTTTGCGACGCCGCACTATCGCATGTCGTCGAAACTCGGAACGTGTTGGTCGCAGCGCACGGTGATTCTAGGGGGCGAATTGGTGTAGGTTCCACGCTCTACCGTCATTGTCACTCTACATTTCTCAATACTTGCTGTGCGTATTCTGATTGTTGTGTTATTTTTAATTGGTCTGCGTGTAGCTCCGCCACGCGTGATGTCCAGGCTGACATGCACTTCCGCAATGGCGCATTTTCGCAATGGGCATTTCGAATCGCACATTTGCCTGCAATTCGAGTCTGATGTGATGAGCTCCATCCTCCAGTCTTCCCAATCTCCACCTTTTGATTCCCCGTCGCACGCACCTTCAACATTCAAACACCTACTCTTCTCTCTACACAGTCGGAAATTTTCTGAGCTAGACTTCGGCAGTCTGACGTCAGCTGGTAGTCTTGCTATTTCGCCATGTCGTTCGCATTGACTTCAGTGGCAATGCCCGCCCGAGCGATCTTACTACGTCTCTCGAGGACCCGACAGGTGCACAAACGATTGTTACCTAGTGACACGATGCTCCCTGTCTTAGGGGAGACTCGCGACTCGTTGGCCGCCATGCTGCCGTTCGCCTGCGCTCCTCAATTCTCCGCATCAGTAGTACAATTCGATGCCTCCAGCCATCCGCCTGCTCCGTCGCCATGCGCCAGAGCGTTCCTAGCAAATGGTATCCGTCCATCCATGGCACCGCCAGCACCAGCAATCGCGTTCACCACCACGTCCTCGGGTGACAACCCCCACCCGCCGCAATCGGAATTTCCACCGGATTCGTCGGATTCCATCGAGGTGCAGCTTCCCGCGGCCTCCACGCCGTTCCACTGCGACCCGCCGCCGCCCCTCGTGCGCACCACGCCTCGCGAGCTGCTGCGTCTGTTCCGCGACATGACCGTCATTCGCCGCGCCGAAATCGTGTCCGACCTGGTGCGCCACCCCGCTGATGCTATGTCAAGAAATCCCTCGAGGAATTGTAGCATGATAACACAGCATGAGCGCCATGTGCTCGTCGTCTCGCACATGAGCACAGAATCGGTTTCTCCTCGTCGTCCTCTCGTCTGACATCATCCGTATCATCCCTCCATCTGCCCCAACCTCACTGGACCACGGGCAACGGTGTGCTTGCAGCTGTTCAAGGAGCGGGCGGTGCGCGGGTTCTGCCATCTGTACGACGGGCAGGAGGCCGTGGCCGTGGGCATGGAGGCCGCCATGGCGCCGCACGACGCGCTCATCACGGCGTACCGCGACCACGGATTTTTCCTTTCCAGGGGGGGCTCGCTGCAGGTGAGGGCGGGCCGAGGTACAGCTGGGATTGAACGCTGCACTTGCTTTCACAGTAACGACCTTAGGTTCAGCAGCAGAACTCACCGTAGTACATTCTTGACATGTGTGTGCGCTTCTCCTCCTTTTGCCAACCCCCGCGCCACAGGAGCTGTTCGCGGAGCTGATGGGGCGGCGCGATGGGTGCGCGCACGGCAAGGGCGGGTCCATGCACCTGTACGGCGTGGCGCGGGGCTTCTACGGCGGGTGGGGCATCGTGGGCACGTCGCCGCCGCTGGGCGCGGGGCTGGCTCTGGGGCAGAAGCTGGCGGGGCGGCAGGGGGGGGGCGTGACTGCCGCCGTGTATGGTGACGGCGCTGCCAACCAGGTGGATGGACAGTGATATAGTTGTAAAAATAGTGCCCATTCCGGTAAGAGCGGCTGGGGAAAGAAGGCAGAACTGCTGTGGCATGATGGCATGGCATAGCGTATGGCATGGCATGGTATGTGGCATGGCTTGGTACTGAACTCCGCATGTATGGTCTCTCCATGCATTGCTTGAACCCCTGCGGCCCACAGGGCCAGGTGTACGAGGCGATGAACATGGCAGCACTGTGGCGCCTGCCAGTGGTGTTCGTTGTCGAGAACAACCATGTGAGTTGCGACAATCATCCACTTGTAATACTTCACGTGCGTTTGCACTCTTCTGCCTGTGACGTGCAACGTTTCTGCCATGTCGGTAAGCCGTTAGTCCTCTCTGCTATGACTTGTTTTACCCCCTCACTGCCCCCCCCCCCCTGGTGTGTGCAGTACGGCATGGGCACCTCTGAGCGCCGTGCATCAGCGCAGACAAGCTTCTTCGATCGTGTCAACTACATCCCTGGCCTGCTGGTGCGCACACCCCGCTGCACCTGCCCACGCACATGCTTTATGGATAATTAGGGCACTGTGGCTTGTGTCTCACACGCGAGCTGAGGACCCCTACCTCTCTGGACCATACTGCCCGTGCATGCATGCGTGCATGAGTGTGCAGGTGGATGGCATGGACGTGCTGGCAGTCAAGCAAGCCATGGAGTATGCCAAGCAGCATGCCATCGCCAAGGTGCACACTATTACTCACATCACACCTGCTTGCCGCCTGCTCCCCATCAACTTTACACACTTTACTCCGCTCCTCGACTGAGCTCTGATGTGCTCTCCAAGGCTTCTCGCAGCCTCTGCTGCTCTACTTATATCGCCCCCCCACCTGTTCTCCATGTGCCCTCACCCCAACCACACTCTGCCATGTGATGTGCATGCATGTGGGTGGGCAGGGTCCCATGGTGCTGGAGATGGACACGTACCGCTACCATGGTCACTCCATGTCCGACCCTGGCAGCTCCTACCGCCAGCGCACCGAGATTCAGCAAACCCGCCGCGCCCGCGACCCCATCGAGCGAGTGCGACGCCTTATACTGGAGGTCAGGCATGGTGTTATGCGAGGGATTGACTAGAGCTTCACGCCCACATACCGCACACTTGCTACCAAACTATGTCACAAAGGTTTTGCATATCTTTCAATAATCACATATTTCTACCCATTTTCCTCCCTCCCAACCATGCCAGCATAAAGTGGAGAGTGAGGAGGGGCTCAGGCAGGCAGACAAGAGGGTCAGAGCAGAGGTGGATGCCGCAGTGAAGGCTGCCAGAGACGCAGCAGCTCCCCGTGACGAGGAGTTATGGCAACGTGTCTATAAGCTGGACAAGGGCATGGTGTTCACAGCTCCGGTTGTGAGCGGACAGAGGGTGGAGATGCCTTAGATAGCCAAGCAGAGCAGATTCACATGACGTCACTTGTGGGAGACAACAGTTGACTTGTGACGATGAACAGACAAACGGAACTGATGCAAGGAGTGTCAGCTTCAGCTGGCATACCTACAAGCTTGAATAGCCAATGTGGCCTTGTTTCCTCCCAGCACTGAACACATCCCCGAATTATCAATCTACATGTCTAACTAGGGTTAGAAGTTAGCAACTCATGATTGTTAGTAAGGCTAGTCAGCAGCAACAGCAGTCGGTGCTCTGAAATTGCACTGCTGGAGCAGAGGGTTGTCGTACGGCACATATCGCGTCCAGAACCTCTAGTAGACGGGGATGGCGAGTTCCAGCCATGGCTTGGCATGGCCATTATAGTGAATCACGGCTGCTCGCTGCACAAGTCCAACGTCCACAGTGCTCTTGCTGCCCAGGCCCAACACCTGCCATCGCTTGTCCAGCGGCTCTGTTGCGTTGTAGAACGTCAGTAGACCAGGAGGAAGGGTGCCCAGCTTCCAGAGAGAGCGGTCCTCATTCTGAGCAACACGAGAACGAGACCACCACGTTTGAACGTAGCAAGAGCAGTTAGATTGAGATTTGAAGAATGTCCAGACGTGGGAAAGAAAGGATCAAGCACAACCGTCATGAGCAAGTGGTACCAACCTTGTCTTGCCAGAAGTGGTACTTGTCGGTGAAGTTCCCCCGCCGCCAGGCAGCCAGGTTGAACATGTTCATTCCGAACGCCCATCCGCACCCCTCAGGGTCAAAGTCAGCGAGAAGGGGACTGGAAAAGTTGAGGTACGTCTTGAATCGATGGAACACCTTCCCGCAGGTCTCAACAGCAAGGTTCACCTTGCCATTCATGGGGATCTGAAGGATAAGAGTTTGGGAAAACAAAGCAAACTCAATAGGCAGCATGAAGAATGAACCAAAAAGCTGTTGGCCGTCTACACATGCGGAGCGTGAATGAATGCGAGAATGAGTGGGGAGGTAAGCTCAGCTACCTTCCACAGCTCTGTCAAGTCTTGCTGCACAACCACGTCGTCGTCCAGGAATAGAATCTTATCCAGCTGAGGAAATATCCGTGGAAGGTAGAAGCGCAGGTGGTTCAGGATGGACAGGTACTTGGGGTTGCGGTACTTGAGGTCCACGTAGTCTTCCTTCGCGTGCGTTGCGCCCACTTTGGACGCCATAGACGCCTGGAAGTAGTAATCGCGCATGGCCTCAGATTCGATTTGCCTCAACACAGGTACATACGAGGCGTTGATCCAAGGATACTCGTCCAGGGAGCGAACCTGCAAACGAGAGGATGAAGCAGCCACCGGAATCAGATTTACTGTTCAGAGGGTAACATTCAGATGGGGTATAGGAAGATTCCGGAAGCGTACCTCGAGAGCCATGTTCCCGCGTGGGGGGTTGAGACTGAACCAGGCCTTCATGGCGGCGTAGTTCATCCTGTCGGTGATGACGTGGAATACATGCTCCGACGGCTGCACGCATTCAAGAATCCCATCCAACGATTAACCTCGTACCCTCCTCAGATAAAAAAATAACAGAAAGCATGCACGTTGGCACCTACGTTGGCTGCGTTCGATGCTGTTGAGTTGACCACGACGGCAACGGCGACGACATTGTCGGAGAACAAGGCGTAGTGGTGGAGGCGCGGGTCCGAGAGCCTAGGATCAACCCTGTCTGTCGTCATGAGCTCAGGGTGTGTGCTGTGGACCATGGTTAGGCGAAGCGACAGACAGTGCAGCGGCTGCGGAATGGCGCGAGAAGCTATTTGGCTAAAAACCATGCTCTGCAGAAGCATGTTCTTCGTCTGCTGCTCCGCCGCCTCCAGCTTTAGCTTCAACCTGCAGCACAAGAGCATGATCGATCTTACTCCCTGGCACATGACAAGCCAAATACGCAATTTAGCGACTCGCACATGCTCCCCACGCACCTGGACAAAGCTCTCCCTTCTCGAAGCGGTCGTTTTCGCTTCTGCTTCGGACGCGCTTCTTCGGGCACTGCGATCGCGTCGCGAGCCCCGCCGGCGTATGCCTGGTCTAGAAGGCTTAGGCATCGGTGGACCTCCTGCTTCACGCGTTCCATGAGAATCTCATCCTGCACCTCGTCTGCGATTGTCAGATACGACTTGGCTGAAAGAAAGCACTCCACTAGCTTCGAGCTCGACGGCGGCCGTGCATCGCCGTGCCCGCTTTTAGAGACGCCAGGCTTTGGTCGCTCCGTGCTGCCGTTATGATGACCGGCAACAGCAACGTGCATCCGTCTGGACAGCCGGGTTCGTAGACTGGCGGAGGAGTCGCCGCTTGATCCAATCTGCAGACCAGCGGAGGACCTTTAGCGTGTCGAGTATTGGCGTTAAGAATGTATAAAATGGCTGACAAGAATCTGAGGGCGCACCTTCTCACGGTATAGGCCGTTGTTGCCTGAAAAGTAACGCACACCGGAGAGACCATCTGCAGAAAACAAGGGAGGCGAGATTGGTCTTCGCTGAAATGTATTAACTCTTAACGTGCTGAAAATCCTTTCACAACGACTCACCACTAGTGCCTGGGGCGCTCGACAACAGATCCCGCGCGCGCAGGAAAAGAAGTTGCTGGGTGACAAGTAAAACTAAGGAGACCGAAATGACTGTTCGCATTAAGCCCGAAGACTCCTCTAGAAAGTAGTAATCGCTTTGCCTTTTTCACCAAAGGTACGGACTTCATAGTGTCCTGGTCGTCTCAGTGGGCCAGCTGAGTGGCAAGGAGACCGACCATTATCTAACTAGAAAAAACTTCCTACAAAACAAGCAGATAGATGCTACGAGGGCAAGGCGCTTGGCGCCATTCTCAAACTAAATGATAACCTCGAGAATCTCTGATTTCTGGCCACGGTTGCTCAGCTCCACATCCCTCCTGCTTCCTAGCAAAACGAGTTTCGAGAATTGTGGTTCACATATTTCACCCAACCCCCACCCCACCAGCATCCACTCCACACATGCCGTTTCGGCCTTGGCGGGGCAACCTGGGAAACGGCTGGGATGATATCTGGGTGGGCCCTGCCTGCGGCTAACTGGGGTAAACCTTCCCGTTAGGTTGAGCGGAAGCAAGGGGGGCAAGGGAGGGAGGGAGTGGTGCATGTTGCGAGGAAGTGCGGGGAACAGTGGTGTGGTGGGGGAGTGGCGGGGGGTGGGCGAAGTCCCACGCGCAGGGTAGGGACGAATTTGCGCCCAGCCTTGTGCACGGCGTGCCGCTGGCAGGTCGCTGTTGCCACGGCTGTTGTCACTGGGCCTGGCTTTGGTGCCTCGCTCACTTTCAGGGCATTGTCGCGATTCGTGCGAGGCAGCGCCTGCCTGTCGCAACACCCAAGGTTACCCCAGCCAACCAACCACACCGCCACGATCCCTCGAGTCGAGTCCCAAATTTCGCAAGCATCGGGCCGTTGGCCTGCGCTGCGTGCGGCCCCAGGCCCCCCCAACACACCTGCTACGTGGTCAAACATCTGACAAAGACGGCGCCGCGGCTGATCAACGACGTGCAGAATTCCTTGCTATTGCCGATAGTGACACACGCTACAAGGATTGTACAGAATCTGGTAGCAATGCTTCAAAGTGCAAAACATAGACCAGGATTTTACAGCAAACTGCAGGTTTCGACTCAATGATTTTGTTTATAGCGTATGCAACCTGCTTAGTGCGAATGTTTCTGTGTATTCATACATCCCATCCCATTGCATACCATAATCTCACATGAGTTTTCACAAGCAGTGTTATGAAAGCTTTCATGAGCGAGACGGGTTTCAACATAAATCCTTGCCTGAAGCGTGGGTTCACACTTGAGAACCGAGCACCCAGAGGTGGGTTGAATGGCGTTTGGGCTCGGTGGATCTGGCAGAAATAGTTCAGCCCTTGCAACTCGTTAAGAAGCTCTGTGGCCGGAAACTTGAAGCACGTGCTGCGTTGAGTGTGTCCCAGAAAGAAAGAGGGGTGCTGCTGACTTCCTGCTCTGAGCCTCAGCTGGGGTAAAGTTCCACTGTTGCAACAGCTTGTTGTCACAGTCAAGGAAATGCAACAATCATAGAGTGTACTGTGTGTGTGAGCCCAACCCCCCTTCTTCCCCATCAAGGACAGCTCCGACCAAGAAACTAGTACAGGTGCCGTATGTCCTTTCAAGTGTGAATGACCAATACCCACATCCACCGTATAACCATCACCTTCACAGACAGCCACCATCTGCCATGAGCTGTGCTGTATCCTGACTCTACCAGCCACCCTATCTGCGCTTGCCGCGCATCTCCCGCTGTGCTCTGCCCGTCTCTGTGCGTGCGCGGCGGTCCTCAAACCACTGCAGTATGCGGCGGCGTGGCAGGTGAGTCACACTCACTAGGTTTGCCACCACCGCATTCTGGAAGGCCAGGGGGGACACGGGAATAACAGGGGTACAAGAAAAGGAGAGCGGTCATGCAGCGGAACGGAGGGACGTACGGGGGAGGGAGGCAGGAGAGGGGATGGCGAGAGTGTGAGAAAGTTGGAAGTACATAGGATTGATGGCGATAGTTGGAAGTTTAGGCGAGATCAGTTGCCCCGTAGGAAGACATGCAGCAGAAACGAGTAATTCCACAGAGGCCCCCAAGGTTGGATGGGTGGTGGGATGCAGATAAGTGGGAGTAGGACAAGGTGACGGGGTTCAGGGAAATGGGAAGAGGAGAGGAGCATTCACCGTGGGGTACTTGCTGCGCTGGTAAACAGCTTCCATTGTGCTCAGGTGCTCCTGCCGTATCCTCTTCCCCTTCTTCCACCGCTCCTGCCACTCCTTCTTCCCCTCCTCACTCATTCCCAGCCTGTCCGCCCCTTTTCCCTCCCCTCCGCCCTTTTCACCCACACCCCTCCCCTCTCCCTGCGCCCCTGCAGCGCCACTCTGCGCCACCACTGCTGCCTCTTGCTCCCCCGCACCCTCACCGGGGGCTGGCGGTGTGGAGGGCGAGGGGAGGTCGGGGAAGAGGGCGGAGATATCGGGGGGATGGCGCAGGAACGCCAGCACGTCTCGCCGCGGCAGATGGGCCTCTGCTGCCAGCGCCTTCACCTGGGGGGGCGCACGGGGGAAGGGGTAGGGAGGGGGCACACGAGGGTGCAGGGAGAGTTTAGGGGACAAAGAGATAGAGGGAATGAAGGGAGAGTGAGGGAGAGGCGAGGGATAAATGTGAGGTGTGAAGGAGGTGCGCGGACGAGAGGGAAAGCAAAGGGGCCATGGACGGAGGATGGGAGTGCAAGAGGCGCACATTGATGTGTCGCCGCCCCTTCTGCACTGCCAGCGCCAGTTTCTTCAGCTGCCATCGCTGCAGCTGCACCTCCCGCCGCGCCCCTTCCCTTGCCCCACTGCTCTCCTCCTCCTCCGCGTCCTCCTCCTCCTCGCCCTGCCAGTCGTCATCACGAAGAGAACCACCCTTTTGCGTCGACTTATCGCTGCGCTTCCCCATTGGATCATCCTGCCCTTGGCCCACTATTGCACCGCTCTCTACGTGCTCCGCACTCCCCATCCTCTGCTCTTTCTCCCCTGCCACCGCTTCCCTCCTTCCCATACCACTGCCAGCAATGGCACCGGCGGCAATGGCACCTGCCATTGCCCCTGCCACGTCATGCACCCCCTCTTCCTTCTTTCCCGCCTCTCCTTGCTCTCCTTCCCCGCTCGCCGTCCCCTTCGCCATCACCTCTCCCATTTCCTGACTCCCCTCTGTCTGCTCCCGTAGCCCACCCTCCCATTCCTCATCCTCCTCCTCCTCCTCCTCCCCCTCCTCCTCCTCGAGTCCCAGCTCCGCCACCAGTGCTCTCTCCTCCTCATCCACCTCCCCCTCCCCCTCTCCCTCCTTCTCCACCTCCGCCGTCATCTCCGCCAGCGCCGCGTCCAGCTCAACCTGCAGCGCCGCCAGCTCATCATCGTCAAGCTCCACGTCAACATCGCCCGCAGCAAAACCAGTGCCGTCCACGTCAGCGTCGGCCTCGAGGTCGCTGGCGAGCTGCGCGAAGAGCGCCTCGATGGCCGCCTCCAGGTCCGCCTCGCTCATGTCGCCCACATATCCGCCCTGCCCGCGCGCGCACGGGGGAAGGGGGAATCAAAGTTGGTGCAACGGGGGGGAGAGGGAAACGGGAGAAGGGGGAAACTGATGACGAGAACGGAGAAGAAAGAGAGGGCACACGAGCAGACAAAGGGCCCACTGCCGCACGCTGGCCAGCTAAACCATCGCCAAAACCCTTAAAACCCTGAACCCTGACAGCTTGAAACCTGAACCATCATCTTTTCGCGAGCACGGTGGTTACTGCAGCGGCGCGAGTAGTGGCTCACCTCGTCGAGTAGAGCGATGGTCACCGTTTCGTTCTCGTCGTTCCCCTTCCCCTTCTTCTTCCCTTTCTCCTTCTCCTTCCCTTTACCCTTCCCTTTCCCTTTGCTCTTCTCCCTTCCGCCGCCGTCACCAAACCCCGTCTTCCCCGCGCGCACGACAAGTCGCCGCTGCTGCTGTCCCGCGGGATCTTCCGCTCCGACGGCGCCGCTCCTCCGCGGACCGATAATTCGCGCGCCGCGCAGACTTGACGGCTCGCGTCGACCCCATGCTGCTACGGCCGTCATGGTGCCACGTGGTGTTGACACGTCTGTGCCACGGCATGCCTGAGGCGACAAGGCTGGGATGGCGTGCGGGCAGCGCGTGTAATGCGACAGAGCGGAACCATCGCGCAGTCGCGCAGGTGCGACAAGGCTTAGCGATGGTGGTTGGCAGGTTGCCATGAGGAAGGCGACGTGACTAACTCGACCGTGCACAATTTCCAATACCACCACGAGATGATGAAACCGTGGAAGTAGCGCAGCGGTTGTGCAGCATTATAGGCAGAGTTTTTCGCCACGACAGTCCGTCTAAAGCACTAATCCGATAACCATGCGGAATATTTGGAGTGAGTATCGAAATAGCTGGTCCAGAACATATTAAATCATTTAATAGTCAGAATCATAAACTGAATCACTTGGCTACAAAAATGTGCATAGCAGCGTTCCTTCGCCTTACTGCAGAACACTACACATGCAGCCAGGTCACCTGGAGAAACAGGCCAAGAGCTATAGCCTGATCTCCAAACAAAATTGTCCAGCCATTAAGAAGCCTCATTCTCGGGTACTTGATGGGCGGCAAAACTTTAAATGGATGGAGGGTTTGCTAAGAAGCTGGGTGCGCAATGGGCCAGGGTGGGTAAAGGTGATGGTGGGATGTGGGCGGGTGTAAGTGATGATGCATGGGTGCAGTACGCGCACTGCAGCTGCAGGTGGTGGAACATGAGGTGTGTGGTGGGATCAGGAGGGAGCGAGGTGGGACGGGTGAGTGGATGACTGTACAAGCAAAATTGTGCGGCCAGACACATGTTCCCATGGCAGCAGAGCCACTGACGTGGGGGATTAGGCGGGGGAGAGAATGGCGGATGCAAGGGTCGAATGGGGAGCGAGAGGTTGGGTGGAGAGGAACCAAGGGGGAAAGGGGAGGAGAGGGCAAAAGGAGAGTGGGAGAGTGTGTGTGTGTGTGAGAGAGAGAGAGGGAGAGTGAGTGAGTGAGTGAGAGAGAGAGAGAGAGAGAGAGAGAGAGAGAGAGAGAGGGAGAGCAGTGAAGTGAGCAGCATGGAGGTGGGGAGGGAGCATGGGTGGGTGGGGGGGTCAGTGCAGGGTGGAGGCGGAGGAGGTGCGGGCAGCAGGCCCCAGCAGGGTGATGACCACGGTGACATCATCGTGGTACTTGCGGCGCCGCCCCGATGGGATGTTGCGCAGCTCCTCCACTCCCAGCCCTGCCACGCACACACATCCACCCACCATGCCGGGATGGGGGGAAACGGGGGGGTAAGCAGCGAGAGGGGGAAAGGGACGAGAGGAGGGTGCTGGCGGTGTGTGCTCATGCCATGGCACGGGGTTACCTGGTGAAGGGGCGGTGATTCTGGGGTGGGTTGCGTGGGCGCCAGAAGCAAATGAGATGAACTTCCAAGCCAAACAGTGCAGGGTGGCGCGGTGGGCTTACCAGCCTGCTTGGCGGCGCGCAGCAGCAGCTGTTCGAGCATGTGCTTGGCGGGGTCGCCGTGGGGGTGGGCGAGCAGGAAGGCGGCCACGTGCTGCACCACCTCGTCGTTGCTGAAGAAGTCAAACAGCCCGTCACTGCCCGCCACCACGAACCAGTCGCGCGCACACAGGCGCCGCGCCGTGGCAAAGGGCACGCTGGACACGTATGGGGGCGACGCCAGGTCACGCACCCGGAAGATGCCCATCAGCTTGTTGTTCAGCCGCTCCTGCACACATGCACACACAGGGGGGGGACATGCAGTGCATGCGCGGTAGGCCGCGGTGTGGTGGGGGTGGCGGAGAGATGGGACACGGAGGAGTTGGTTGAAGCAAGGCGCGGGGTTTGAGACGGTGATGGAAGGTATTTGCAACAGGATGAAGGTGTGAAAGGGGGGGGAGGGGAGGGGGGCGAGCAACGCAAAGCATCTCCAAGCCTTCTCACTCCATGCCACCATTCCCTCCATTCAACCACACGCAGCCCTGGCCCTTATCCCCTGACCCTCCACTGCCACCGTGCACGCCCGCCCGTGCGTACGCTTTTGAGGTACCCGGCGCCAAAGGCGCGGGTGACGCGCAGCTTGCCCTTGACGCGCCTGCCCACCACGGCGCTCGCGTCCAGCGGATGCTCCGCCACCACACGCCGCCTCTCCGGCTCGTAGTCCACACAGTGCTGCTCCGACAGCACCACCACTCTCAACCCCTCCAAACCACTCCGCCCCTTCTCACCCTTCCCGCCCACCCCTTCGCCAGCAAGCGCGTCGCCATTCGCGCCTTCGAAGCCTTGCCCTCCTCCACCACACGCCCCATCGCCCACCCCCCCCACCCATTCGCCCGGCCCCTCCCTGTCCGCGTCGCTACCGTCCGCGGCGCCCATGCTCACGGACGCGCCCTCCCCCGGCGCGGCCCACGTGGCGAGCAGCGCGCGGCTGTCGCCGAGGTTGAGCGTGAAGAGGTGGCGGCCGTGCAGCAGCACGAGCAGCACGCACGACCCCACCATGGCCAGGTCGGGGCGCTCCTCCATCTCCGCCTCCACCATGCGCAGGAAGTCGCGCTCTGTGTGCGCCAGGGCGCGCTGCAGGCACCGCAGCACTGCGCGCTGGAACTCCGCCGTCGCTGCCGCGCTCGCTGCTGCCGCGCTTGTGGCGGTCGTTTTGGAGGATGCGGCGTCGGGTGAGTCCGTGCCGTTGACAGAGGGGGCGGGGGGAGCAGGGATCGGTGAAGAGGGCGAGAAGGAGGCGCAAGAACCAGGCCCGGACGGTGAGCACACCGACGCTGCTGCTGCTGCTGCTGCTGCTGCTGCTGCTGCTGCTGCTGCTGCTTCTGCTGCCGGTGCTTCTACCGTTGCTGCTTCTACGGCTGCTGCCGCTGCTGCTGGCTGCCACGGATCGTTCGCTTGTGCTGACAACGAGGAGCGAGTTGAATCGTTACAATCGGCTGCGCTTTCCGGGCCGTTACTACCCCTACTCCGTCCACTGCTAGACTCGTCACAACACATGCCACCAGCACTCTCCGACCCTATCCCTCTGTCGCCCACGCCATCCCCCTCCGCCACACCCATACTTTGCGCCTCGATCACCTCGTCCGCCCCTGCTACCGCCCCTGCTGTCGCCCCTGCTGCACCCTCTCCGTCAACCCTTTGCGCGCCGACCTGTGCTGCCCCCCTCCCATTGTCCCCCTCGCCACCGCTTCCGCCTGCCCCCCCGTCGGCGGTGGGGATGGCGCGCAGCGCGGAGGTGAGGGGCGAGAGCGCGGAGGACGCCTCCTCGCACACGGTGGGCAGCGACGGCATGCTCTGGCTCAGACTCGGGTTCGCCGTGCGCAGCAGCGACGGCGGAGGCACGGCGGCGGAAGGCGAGGCGGGGAGGAAGGAGACAGGCGGGGGAGGAGGGAGCATGTGCCAGAGATGCTGCTTCTGGTGGTGGTGGTGGTGCTGCCGCTGCCTTTGCTTCTGCTGCGCCTCTTGCTGCGCCGCGTGCTGCTCCTGCCAGTGCAGCAGCCGGAGGTGCATGCCCACGCTCTCGTACAGGTTCACGGCCAGGAAATCCGCGGCGTCGCGCCCGTTGAACCCGTCGTACACGCCGCAGAACACCCACCCGTTGGCCTCGGAGCACACGGCCTGCACGCGGTCCTCGCCCGCCGCCCCGCCCGCCACCTGCACGTCCGTCGCCTGCAGAAAGCTCTGCCCCAGCGACCCGGGCGCAGAGCTGCTGTTCTCCGCGGGGAAAATCGGCTCTCCGCCGGTGCTTCCGCCGCCCGCGGAAAGCATGGAAGACCATAGGCTCGCGCCGGACGTGGGGGACGCGGAAGAAGCGGCGGAGGCGGAGGAGGGCGTGGTGGAGGCGGAGGAAGGGGAGCGGTAGGAGAGAGGGTTGGAGGACATGGAGGAGGAGGCGGAGGAGGAGGAGAGCGGGCACGCGGGTGCACAGCACGCGGGGATGCCGGAGTGAGTGGACGTGTTACAGTCGATTCGGCGGAAGTTCTTGGGGGAGTCTATGTCCCCCAGGATCCCCCGCGCGGTGTTGGCGCACAGGAACGAGTTGGCGAGCGTGGCGTTGGCGCTGAGCGCGGCGCCGGACAGGAATGAGAAGGACTTGCGACGATGGTACCGCGCCGCGCCCGACGCCATGGATGCGGAGGAGAAGAGACCGCAGCGCGCATCAGAGGGGTCGAGAGGCGACTGGAGAGGGAGAAATTTGGAAGTGTCTGACAAGGAATGACCGTACGGCGGTGCAAACGCGTGCCTTCCTTCCGCTGCTGCTGCTCCGCCCAGAATCTTGCTGTCGCCGGGAGGCGCGGGGTCCGAAACGCCCGGTTCCGAAGCTGGCCTGTCGGACCGTGACGGCGCTCCCTCGCTAAGCGCGCCGGCAGCGCGTTGCTCATCGTCCCCTGGTTCCATGCCCTCGTCCTCCCCTTCATCTTCCCCTTCCCCTTCGTCATCCGTGCTGTCGTCTTGCCCGTTTCCACTCGTTTCATCAAGCCCACTATCCTTCCGCGACCCTCCCCGCTTCTCCCGGCGGCAGTGATACTCGAAACTAACCATGATTTCCTCCTCCTCCTCCTCCTCCTCTTCCTCCTCCTCTTCCTCTTCTTCCTCGCTTCTCTCGTCATCCCCCCCCGCTTCCTTCGCAACCCCCATTTCATCGAAATCCCCATCGCCTCCCTCGATGCTTCTTGGATCTCTGGACTCTAACCCACTACTCTGGACAGAAACCGGGGGAAACCCCTCATAATGCTCCTTTTCGCTGTTCGGCGTGCAAACCTTTCGCGAAAGTGTCGCCGGAGACAGGCGAAGCGACTCGTGCGGAGCATGATCGCCGTGATCCAAGTGGGAGTGCGCGGAGCCCATGGGGGAAGCCGGCGGGGGGAACAAAGAGTTAGGGCTGCAACGAGGGCGCCCGGGGCAACACTAGAAAGACCTTCTCCACTCCTCCTTCGCTCTGCTCCGATTCTCGCCACGCACCTGCAGAACCCGGTTGCTCGCGGAAACTACAGCGCGCGATAAAGATTGTATCGCTGTGCTAACGCCATTCACAGGACTAGGGGGGTTGCTGAAACGACACTGTGGACGAAAGCATCGGTTGCTACGTCATAGATGGAGAACGCGCGGATGGTGCGCCATAAACCAGGGCTAGAAGATTGGTGTGGGACAACGACGCCGACGCGATGAAATCCCCAAAAGTAATCGGCTCGTGCGTCAACTGTCAGGGAACGGAGATTCTTTACAAGGCCCGATGCGGAATCAATCTTTGCCATAAAGAAAGAGATGCCACTGAGCAATGCCCTACCTCCTTGAGCACTCAACGGTAGAGTACACATAAGCGTGACGAGTGTCTACCCGAAACCGCGAAGCAGTTAACACCAGACTGATCGATGAGACCTGCGTGCCTTGTGCGTGCTTGTTTCAGGCAGTGTGGTAAAAGGCTGGTCTGGCGGAGGGGACGGAGGTAAGGCGGAGGAAGGAGGGGAGGTAGGCACACCTATTGGGGTTCCGTTCCGCGCAGCGGAAAGGACTCGCGGAAAGGACAAGCTCAAGGCCCGCATCCACCGCATGAAGCACCAATGGTGGCGCGGAGAGGCGAGAAGCGGCCGCCAGCATGGCGAAAGGATAATGTGGAAGTGCAAGGCGTTGGGGGTTGGGTTGGGTGGATGTGGGGGCAGCAGCGAGATTGCCCAGCCCAGGGCTGGGCGGAGACCACTGATGACAAACAACGGAAAGAAATGTGGTTGATCAGCCGTTATGTCGGGCAATGCATTGGGTGTGGTGAAGTCTTGGGTTCCGCTAAAGGTCTCTGGAACACCCATGCAGCACATTACTTCCAACCCAGAAATACTTGAAAGCAAAGTACCCTTCTTGAGATGCGTCGTTTCAAGTTCGGTCCAGCGTTATTGCGAACACGCCCCAGTCATGTTCGGATGTTAGCAGTATCCGGTCCGGTGCACTCGAAGGGACATTTCACCAACAATCTCGGTACAGTCAGACTTAGCAGATTCTCTAATAGATGTGGGCTCACATCTTAGCATGAAGATGTTATAATCACTTGTGTTCATGTGGTCAATAACAGATGTTGGAATAACCGAAAGGTTATCACAAGCATTCCCGAAGGCTCTCCGCTATCGCGTCTCCTCATAGCGAAGCAGACGCCTGTACCAGTACCGCATGAGCTCATATAGAGCACGCGGAAGATCGAGGGTCACCCGAAGGTCAACAGTCGAAGACAGTCAACGGTCGTGACCCTTGACTGCCCAGTAACCGCACAAGGCAGTTGCGAAATGCAACATGGTAACTGTCTAGAATGGCAATAGTCGTGGGTTACTGTAGCAATGCAATTCAGTTAATAAGGGAATGTACCTACATGGCTAGCTAGGCTTGCTATTTATACTCTTGTACTTCTATCTTATATTCATCTTGTTCTCTTTCAATTTATTGACAAGGTCATTACAGAGACTTCACAGTTCTCTCCCTTATACTTGGCAACCTTATCCTTTCCACTACGATTCTTAGTTATAACATCATGTTAGAATCACTAGTAGCTAGGTGAGGAATGATGATTAGGTGAGGGAGAGGGGGTACAAGAGTGTCGAGAGAGTTGGGTTGTACCCTCTAAGGTGTGACCCTACACAAACTAGAGTAAGAACATACAATATGTTTTGACACACCCCCATAGGTGAAGTAGGGGATAGCCAAACCTAACAGTGGTCACAAGACCAGTCAAGCAACAGAACAAGCAAGGCAAAGCCCAGGGTGGATCTCAAGGACACCACACAATCTGAGCACAAGCAGGCGGCCACAAGGCTAGTTCACATGCAGATTTATAATAGCAAGGCAGTAAACATGCAGGTATAAAGATATATATAGCAGTGTATAACAAGAGCAAGTCAAGCAATCAGCAGGTGAGGCAGAGTGGGCACAAGCCCAAGAGCAGTGCAGAAACGCTGATGATCACCAGCCCCAAGGGCCTTGGTGAAGACATCAGCAGTGTTGGCTCGAGAGGCCACGAAAGCAAGGCGCAGCTGACCACGCTGCTGCAGCTCACGCGCAAGGAAGTAGCGCAGAGCAATGTGCTTCGTTCTGTGCTCCAGTCTCTGCTCGCGACACAAGGCAAGCATTGCCTTGTTGTCGACGTACAGAACTGGAGGAGAACGAGGCCGCTCCCCCAAGTCGGTCAGCAGGTAGGTCAGCCAGCGGAGCTCCTGTGCAGCCATGGCCCCAACGTAGATCTCGGCCTCAAAACTGGAACCAAGCACTGAAGAAGAACGAGTGGACCTCCACGAGACAGAACCAGCGCCAAGACTGAAGGTGTAGCCCTGTGACGAACGCTGAGTCGCCTGGTCGTCGGCCCAAGAGGCGTCAGAGTGTCCAGTGAGGACCACCGAACCCCGTCCTCCAAGCACGAGCCCCATGCCCGATGTGCTGCACAAGTAACGCAGTACCCTCTTCGCAGCATCAAAGTGCACCTTTCGGTGCCTACCGGGTGCCACGTAGCGAGCCAGAAGGCTGAGAGGGTACGCGAGGTCAGGTCGTGTGCACGTCATCAGGTACATGAGGCAGCCCACAAGCTCTGGGTACGAACCACTCGGCTCTACGGACTCGTCCGAAGGTGGAGCTGAGAGCGAGTGGCCGGTAGCCAGAGGAGTGGGCTGTGGCGAGGAGTACGTGAAGCGGAAGCGCTGTAGGACCTGGTGCACCATGTGTGACTGAGTCAGGGTGATGGTGCACCGTGGTCTGTCCCGGGTGATCTGCAAGCCAAGATAGCTCCGCAGCTCACCCAGGTCAGTGCAGGTGTGTCTCTCCTGCAGCTCCGCCTTCACTAGGGCCAGTGCCTCAGTGTCAGCAGTAGCAAAAACCAAGTCGTCGACGTACACGAGGATGTAGAATGGCGGCAGAGTAGTGTCGGTGCGTAGAAACAGCGACGGGTCAGCAGTCGAAGGAGCAAACCCAAGAGCCGCAAGTGTCGTCCTCAGTGTGTCGTGCCACTCGCGGGGCGCCTGACGCAAGCCGTACACTGGTCGCCGTAGGCTCCACTGGGTACCCTCAGGAAACGACCCAGTGAAGCCCTGTGGACGGCGCAACCAGATGGCCTCGTGAAGGCTACCCTGCAAGAAAGCTGTCGAGAAGTCGAGGGAGTGCAGCTCGTAGTCACGCTGAGCTGCAACGTGTAGCAACACCCGAAGAGTGGTCATCTTCGGGGTGGGAGAGAAGGTCTGAAAGAAGTCGACCCCCTCACGCTGACTGAAGCCTCGAGCAACGTAACGTGCCTTGAAGGCAGGCGGAGAACCCGGCGGCCGCTTCACCCTGAAAATCCACATGCCACTGACGATGTTCGCCCCAGGTGGGGGAACCTCGTCGACGTAGGTGCCTGTGGACTTCCAGGAAGCCATCTCTGCGTCCATGGCTGTCTGCCACTGAGAGGAGTACTCACCCGAAATCGCCTCCCTGTAGGAGCGCGGGGTGGGGATGTCAAGTGCATCCGGGTCTCCCTCAGGGGCAAGCAGCATGGTCGCGTGATGGGGTGAAGCGGCAGCAAGGCACTCCAGCTCCTCCTGTCTGTCCTCAAGAACGTCACAGCCAAGGGCAGTGCAGCCAAGAGCAGTCTCACCCCCGACGGACGGAGGACAGGCAGGGACAGGGTCAGAGACAAGACTCGCAAGGTAGTCGAGGCGGTACACAGCAGCAAAGTCAACGAGCTCAGCTACTAGGGCAGACGCAGCAGGAGACGAGAACGTAGGGTCCGTCACAACCGTAGCAAGAAGGCGAGTAACAGTCGGACTGGACGCACGAGCAAGGTCAGACGGAGGGTCAGCAACGTCAGGCAAAGAGGACGCTGGAGGTAACGGTAGGACAACACGCTGAGGAACAGAGGAAGGACGGAGTGTCATATCGTGAGTGCCGGGGACAGCCGGAGCACGCTGACGACGAACACGAGGAACACGAGCACGGACAGCAGCTCTAGGCTCAGGCTCAAGGTCAAAGCTAGACTCAGGCTCTCGACGCTCAGGGGTGGAAGCACGAGTCTCAGGCTCTCGACGCTCAGTCAGGGACTCTGACACCGCAGTGTAAGGAGCAGGAGCAGGCAGTGGGGAGTGTGGTAGCAGCGGCGGCTGTGACTGGTCCGCCGGTGGACACAGCAACGGAGGAGTAGTACCTGCCACAGGGAAGCCAGTAGCACCTGGCTGAAGACTGAGAAGGTGGCGAAGAGCACCAGTAGCTCCACCAGGACCTCCAGCACCTCCAGGACCTCCAGTCCCAGCAGCTCCAGCTCCTCCAGCACCAGCAGCTTCAGCAGCTCCACGACCTCCAGCACCAGCAGTACCTCCAGTACCTCCAGCACCAGCAGCTCCACGACCTCCAGCACCAGCAGCACCTCCAGTACCTCCAGCACCAGCAGCTCCACCAGGACCAGCAGCACCTGCAGCTCCCCGACCTCCAGCACCAGCAGCACCTCCAGTACCTCCAGCACCTCCAGGACCTCCAGCACCAGCACCTCCAGGACCTCCAGCACCAGCAGTACCTCCAGTACCTCCCGCACCAGTAGCTCCAGGTCCTCCGGTAGGAGCTCCGACGACACCAACACCAGAAGGACTCGCAGCACCCCCAGAGTCAGCACCCGAACTCGTAGTACCCCCAGAGACAGGACC